GGGGCGGGGGGGGGGCGGCGCGGGTGGCGGAGGGTGAGGTGGTCCGGGAGCGTGTCGACGAGGCAGGGCGAGACTCTGACATAGAAGAGGCGGATTTCGAGGCACGCCGAGTGGGAGTGGAATTGGGAATTCACGGATTCTTGTTCGCTTTGATCCATATACGAATTCGGAATTAGGAAATAGGAATTAGGAATTAGAAATTGCGAATGGGAATGGAAATTGGGGAATTGCGATTAGTAGTTTGCGATGGGAGGTGCGGAGAAAAAGGGGTTTAACTGTAGCTCCAAGGGAAGGGAAGGGTGTGTGTGCAAAATGCAAATATAGGGAGATATTATAGGGAAGGAAGAAGACAAACCACACGCGCCTTTTTCTCTTCTCTTCCACTCACTCTCTCTCTCTCTCTCTTTCTCTTCTCTTCTCTACACTCACTACGACACTACCAACTTGTTACGACTAAAGTCTTTTTTGTTGACTTTTGTCCTCTTTTATTCTAATTCTTTTTTATTTTAAGTAAAACACAATGCCATAAATATTTTTCACATTATTGTTCAAAATCAATTATTACAAAAAAGAAAAAATACTTTTACAATAATTACTTCCTTCAACTTTATTTATATATTACTATAGTGTTATGATTCACTTAAATATATTTTTAATCTTAATAAAAAAAAAATTAGTTTCTTAAGTTTAAAATTATTTTTTTTTAATTTTAGAATTTTCAAAAAAAAAAATTACTGTTCTAATATTCAATTTTATTAGAGAATCTGTTAAATATTGTTATCGCATAAAATTTATCAGCTAGTATTTTTATTAGTAAAAACATCATATTAAATTCAGTTGATGTTGTATAATTGTCTCAATTTATCGCTTTTAAATATATTATTAGTAATTTGAGACTAAAACAAGGTTTTTAAAAATTATAAGATGAAAAAAAATAGCTTTAAATTAAATTTGATAAAATCATAAACAAATTTAATTTTAAAGGATTAAAAATATAGTTAAACTTTATTAATTTTATCCGTAATTATTTTTTAATAAATAACTTAGTATATATATATATATATATATGAACAATTATCTTAAGGGAACTTTTTTTATTTTTAGGAAAGGGATTTTAGAATTTTTGTTATTATATTTACACAAACATCACTTTACATTTCCTTCTTTTTTGTAAAAAGCCTGGTACTTAATTAGTTGTATTATATCTTGATATAAGATGAAACAACTTCGTCATCTTACTTAACTTTAACTTTGTGTTATTATTTTAAGCCTAAAGAGACTTGTTTGTAAAATTTTTTTTGGTAATTAGTGCTTGGAGAGGTTTGTCTATAAAAGAATATTTGATTGTTAGAGTTTGGAGAGACTTATTTGTAAAAGAATACTTGATTATTAAAACCTAGAGAGGATTTGTGTTAAAATAATACTTAGGTAGTTTCTTGAAGGGGTAAGAATTTGACATAATTTTGGTGGTTAAAACGAACTAGTATAAAAATATTATATGTTCTTCTTCCTTAACTCTTTGCCTACACTTTTGAGGTCTTGCTATTATTTCAATATCCTCTTCTAATGTCTCTCTTTTCTCCACAAATGATGAAATTAGGTTAAAGATAAATGATGAAAATCTTCAACTAGCTTCAAATGTTAAGCTTAAAAGAAGCTTAGGCTTTTTACCTTCACCACAAACTCATTCCTTTTGCATCCTCTTAGACGACATTACCTTTGTAATAGGTCTTGTGGAAGACATTATGTTATCAACAAATTTAAATTGTTAAATTGAAAGTTCATAATGCATAAATCAAGTCTGTAAAATTTTAAAAAATATGAAAATTATTTAATATTTCATTTCATTAAATTAAGAATATTAGAAAAAAATTTATACAGGTAAGAAGTAAACTGGTAAGATTTACATTTGCATAAGAACTAGTTTAATAATTTTTTATACATAAAGTTTAAATTAAGAATTTGTAACATGAGTTTTAAAAAAAGTATCTACTGCATTTGCTTTTCCAAATGTAAGCATCACTGACAGTGACTACGACCCAGACATGTATAATTAAGTGTGTCTCTCCAATTTGATACACACAGGACAGGACTCTAGCTATATAAATATGGAGAGAACAGTGTTATCATAGGATGATATACATTATTAATTATATAATCTTGACTCTCTAAACAAGTAAATAACCATGATCAAATTTTCAGGCATAAGTTGTTGTTGGGGCATAGGTATCGGTAGAATTGGAGCTTCTGCAGGCTGCTGTTGATGTGGAGCCAAGATTATATACAGTCAGCTTCTTATCGATGGACAAATTGATGTTGAATCCTTTATGCACTAAAACAATTATTTGCTATTGCTTTCGTACAATACATATATAACAATCTATGAAACAGTAACTTAATTAACAAACCTTTGTCTTAGAAAAAATTTCCTTCGCAATATAAGTATTCACAAATCACGACCACTATTGCTGAAGGATACAAACAATGTATAGCGCATGTGCAATCCACGCCGTTTTCAAGACTTTTGACGAACGACCGTAGCCAATACTAGTGATTGATGACACAGCTGAAAAAAACAAACATCCTTCGCTGTCGTAAATATAATATCATTAATTGTTAAGAAATATTCATTGGAATTGGTTTATGTGACACAAAAAGTTAAAAAAATTTTTAGTTCCATCCGTTATTGAAACGGAACTTAGGTCTAAGAATCTTCCATATAAAGGAGTATTGTAATTGGTTGGAAAAACCTCTACCTTCCATGCGGAACCAAAAACAAAATAAGGGATTAAAAAAAGAAAACATGAGTATAAGTATTTAGAAACAACTTCCATTAAAACAAAAATTATAAAAATACTATGAGTTACTAAAGAATAATGTGTGATAGTGAGACTTATTAAAAGTGAAAGGAAGTGGTTAGAAGCAACTACCATCCTAGATGTAAGAAAAATATATTGTCTGATCCAATATTGGTAGTGTCGTTATTGATACATCAGATTACGTAATTAATATGGTGACCACAGACCAACTATAACAAATAATTTATCATTGTCATTAGTATGAAATTTTCTAAATAGGCAGCCCAACCAAGTAGAATATGTTTACCGTCACACATCAAAGTGAATGTGAGATATATACTTTTTATTTTATATATGCATCGAATTGATTTGTGTTACCAAACTTTTGCACGCCATGATATTGGTTTAGTCGCCGACAAAAAAGAAAACTCTTTAATATTTTTAATTATCATTTATAAATGGACAAAGTCTAAGATGAACCTTTAAATAACTGGTTCAAGGTTCAATTAACAACATATTATGTTAGTTTTAAGTGGTTCACCAATGGACAATAATGTTTTCACCGTTAGATGTTAGGATATTTAGATAAACGGTTGGGATCAATTACCGGCTACATGTGCTAATTGTTAATTAAATTTGTGATTTTAACCATAATTTAATAATAAATACCTTTTTTGTCCTTCTCATTTACAGGGTATTCCTATTCTGAATCTATTTCCACTGCTAACCACACATTATGCATTTCGTTCGTTTCGATTGAATTGTGTTGTGTATGCTATGTTGGTAGAGAAGGCGGGGCAGGTGTTGTTCCAGAAGAAGCTCAAGGTTGAACAGTGAGCTTATCAAAGTGAACGAAATCCTTTTAGTTACGGATGAGTTTTATGATTTTTTAAGCTTCAAGTTAGAATTTTACCCTCATTATATCTTTAGTCTTTACCATGCTAGTGTTTGTAGAAGTTGAAATTTGTCTGGAATTTATCACTGTTAATCAATTGATGATTTAATTGGAAGAGTTATTAGAAGGCTTTAGGAATGAAGCCTTCATATATATAAAACAACTGAATAATGCTTACTATTTTCTAGTATTGTTTTTTATGAAATACTAAACTGATGAAATGAGGTTTAGCCAATTCTGTCTTTAATGATGAGCAAAAGGGTGTTTTTATTTTTCATTTTCTGTGAATAAGTAATCTGTGTTGACGCATAGATTTATGTCTAAGTTGATTATTTAGGGAAGTAGGAAATCAGCACCAATCAATTTGTCACGCATTATGTGATTTTGTATTTCTCTTTGGGCATATAATTTGGTATCCAATCTTCTCATATAAAATAAAACATAAGTTGGAACTATTTTAACAAAATAAATTCAATCTAACGACAGACATGATGAGAGGCAAGAATCCAGTACGTACCCATAGATGACAGATCGATCATAAGCAATATACTAAGGTTACATGTTAATTGTATAAGAAGCTAATAAGAGAAATAATGTGAACGGCATCAAATTAACCATGTTTCGTCTTTTTTCTTTATTATTTTCATGCATGAATGGTAAACTAAAACAGGTACCCAATAATTTGTTTCAAAATTCAAAAACAGATAAATAAAACAAAAATATACAATTAATTAAAATTCGCAACAATTTAAATGAGATAGATTATACTATTAGTATTTTTCACATTATAAAAAAAAACATTTTTGTAATTCTCAAATTTAAATATTAAACAAATGAATGATGAGGTTCAATTACATTCCGTGATACTTTCAAATAAATATATAACTAAAAAAGGGTATTTTTGTAATTTACAAATTTTAAATATTAAAAGAGTTAACCTGTTAAAAACAGGTATCACCGGTACTGTTCACTTTTTTTCAATCGTTCAGGTGGACCATTTAGCAAACTCCTCCACCCTGGCAATCGCCTTATAATTATTGGTAGCTTTCATTACTCTTTGTTAGGGACAGTACGCTTACATAACATTCCTTTTTGTTCATAACCAACTCCAAAATAATATATATAACTGCTGCATATGTTGACTAATAGCAGTAGTGTAACAATGAAAGCGGTATGACACGACAGTGACTAAAGTACAACCTAGAGATCATGTTTTTTAAGTAGTTGCGTGTGTCTCTCCCTTATGATACACAGGATCTAGCTATAAATACCTTCATCAACACCCCATTTCCTTATTCATCCAACACTCTCTTTTCTATCCTCAAGAGCACCAAGAGCTTCAACTCCATCATGGCTGATTTTGTGAGGCCAAGACCCGCTTATTTTGAACGTGCTTTCAGGGGTACTCACGTTACCTTAAATATACTCTATATACAAGCACGTAACATGGCAGCAGAAACCGATCCTCTCCACGCCCTTCTTTCTTTCATCTTCTTTGTACTTCTGGCTTTTATACAAATAAAACACCCAAAAAATCCCACCCCGTTTCAACTCCATCCAAAGACCGTGATGGTCTCCATTGCAAGCTTTCTCCTTTACTGCTTGGGCTTCTTGGGCAGGCTCAAGTTTGGTACAAGGGCTCACCACTTTGACACCC